GAAAAGATGACTTTTTTCCCCTACTGAATAGACATTTCAGCATTATCTACACTAATATATCTCAAAGCATATTTCAGAGAACCCTGGCATTTGCAGCAGAACACATTAATGTCAGTATTTATTTGTCCTTAGTAATTCCAACGTTCTTATAGTTTGACATTTTAGGCTATAGCTAATCCTCTGGACTTAACTGCCCTTCCTGGGAAAAATGGAAACACTGCTTCCCTTGTATAGTTATTAAAAATATATTTTTAAGACTTTTGGTATTTGTAAACTTTAATTATTTTAAGCTCTGGAGGAATGGGAAAGCTGAAGGAGAACTGGCAAGGATCGCTAGAACCAAAATTTTCTATTGAAAAAAAGGAAACAAGAAATCAATAATAATTCACCAGGTTAAAGCTGAAAGATTTACTGTAGTGCTGAAATAAAATAAAGGGTGTCTTGCTGAAAAAGAGAGAGGTCACTTTTCTCTCTGCCATGAGACATAATGAAGATATGTGATGCTGGAAAAGTGAGACACAGCAGGGGGGAAAAGAGAGAAAACCACAACCTGCTTTAGTTTTGTGGAAAAGTTTTTAACAGTGCTAAACTTTATCCTTTACATTTTTATAAGTTGCAGAAAAGAAAGTCTTTTAAAAGATTCTTGAAATTGAATCTGTATGGTTCCATTTATATAACATTCTCAGAATGACAAAATTATAGAGACGGAGAACACATTAGTGGTTGTCAGGGGTTAGAGATGGTGCAGAAGGTTCTATCAGTTTTTGCTTTGCATCTTGAAGGTCTGTATTTGTGAGCCTAAACATTTAGGATTATTTCCTCCTGATCCTTCCGTCATTATGAAATGACCTTCTTTATTGCTGGTAATAGTCTGTGTCTGTTATTAAGAGAGCCCTTTCATCTTTCTATTAATTTGTGTTAACACAATAAGCATGATATATCTTCTTCCTTCCTTTTGCTTTTAATCTACTTGTGTTTTTATATTTAAAGTGTGTTTCGTATAGGAACATGTAGTTTTGTCTTACTTCTTTGTGCAATCTGACAATTTCTGCCTGTGGACTGGGGTGTACAGACTATTTACATGGAATCTGATTATTGGTGTGGTTTGGTTCGAGTCTGCCATGTTGCTGTTTATTTTCTGTTTGTCTCATCTGTTCTTTGTACTTTTTTATGCCCTTTCTACCTTCTTTTTGATTATTTTTTATGATTCGATTTCATCTCCTGTGTTGTCTTATTAGTGACCGCAATTTTGTTTTGTAGTTTTAGTCGCTGCTTTAGGGTTTATTGTACAGATACGTTGATTACGTCGACCTTCAAGTGTTGTTCCACCACTTCACATAGAGCATAAGAAACTTACAATACTGTGCTTTCATGTCTCCGCTCCCGGCCTTTATGCTATTGTTGCCATACATATGTTATAAACCTTGCGCTAAACTGTTGTTAATTTTGTTTAGTCAATGATCTTTAAAAAAACCCTTATTTATTTACCCCTGCAGTCACCATTATCAGTGTTCCTCATTGCTTTCTTTACATTTATATTTTCATCTGGTTATCACATTCCTTCTACCACAAGCACTTCCTTTAATCTTCATTGTAGTGTGGGTCTGTTAGCGATTATTTATTTCAGTTCTTGTATGTCTGAAAAAGTCTATTTATCACTTTCCTTTTTCAAGGATATTTTCTCTGGGTTCATCATATTTTCTTTTAGTACTTTAATGTTGTCTTCTGGCTTACATTGTTTCTGATAAGAAATTTACTGTCATTTTTAGCTTTGTTCCTCTGTATATAATGTCTTTTTTTCTCTGTTAGCTTTTCAGATTCTCTCTTTATTACTGGTTTTGAACTATTGATTCTGATGTATAGTTTTTTCCTATTTCTTGTGCTTTGGGTTTATTGAACTTCTTGGATGTGTGGGATTATGTTTTTCATCGAATTTGAAAATGTTCAGCCATACTTTCTTCAAATATTTTTTCTGTTCTCCATGTCCTCTGTTTCAGGAACTCCAATTAAGTATATATTATTAGGTTGCTTGAAGTTGTCCCACAGTTTACTGATACTCGTTTTTTACTTTTATTTCTATTTCTCTGTGTTTTCATTTTAGATAGTTTCTACTGCTATGTCTTCAAGTTCATTAATCTTTTCTTCTGCCACTAATCCCATCTGGTGTATTTTTCATTTCAATTTGGGTCTTTTTAAAAAATCTTCTTCTTGGGGCTGGCCTGGTGGCATAGTGGTTAAGTCTGTGCATTCCGCTTTAGCAGCCCAGGGTTCGTGGCTTCGGATCCCAGGTACAGACCTACACACTGCTCACCAAACAGTGCCGTGGCGGCGTCCCATATACAAAATAGAGGAAGATTGGCACAGATGTTAGCTCAGGGACAATCTCCCTGACACACACACACAAAATCTTCTGTGTCTCCACTTAATTTTTTTTGCATGAGGAATACTGTTTTTAATGACCTTGATTGTTCATTCTAACATCTGTGTCTAATATCAATACCCTTCTCTCAATAATTGATTTCTTTAATTTTTTCATTATGGGCCATATTTTTCAGCTTCTTTGAATGCCTAGTAATATTTGATTAGATGCCAGACATTTTATAAATGTGCCAGACATTTACCTTTTTGGCTGATGAATATTTTTGTATTCCTATAAATAATCTTGAGCTTCAATCTGGGACACAGTGAAGATACTTGGAAACAGTATGATCCTTTTAGGTCTTGCTTTTGAAGTTAGTTTGGTGGGACGAGAGCAGCATTTAGTCTAGATTTATTTATTCCCTGCTACTCAGGCAGGACCCTTTTGAGTACGCTACCCAATGCCCTCTGAATTATGAGGTTTTCCAGTGTGTCTGGGAACAGGCCCAATTCAGGGCCCTGAATGAATGTGAGCTACTATTCTGGCTAATCTGTTCAGATGGTTTTCCTCCTAGCCCTCAGGGAGTGTCATCATGTGGATGCATTGATGAGTACTCTGTTGCATATTCAAGTTATACCCTTTGCAGATCCCTGGGATTTTCTTTCTTTCTAGCTCTCTCCTTTCCCGTATGCTGACCTGTGAACTCTAGCCATGGTGTCTCCAGAACTCTCAGCTTCATCTCTTCAACTCAGGGAGTCTGCCAGTCTTCACCTAGGTTCTTGGTTCTGCACTGTGACCTGGAAACTCTCTCAAGGCAGTAAGCTGGGGTATTCATAGGGCTCACCTCAGCTCTTTCCCCTCTCTCAGGGATCACTGTCCTGTATGGCTCAGTGTCCAGTGTCGTGAGAATAGTTGTTTCACATATCTTGTTGTTTTGTTTTTTTTTATTGTCTCAGGTGGGAGGTTAAATTGGGTTCCTGTTACTCCATTTGGTTGCAAGTGGAAATCTCAAAATTAGGGGTTTTTTCTTTGAGGAAGATGAACCCTGAGCTAGCATCCACTGCCAATCCTCCTCTTTTTGCTGAGGAAGATTGGCCCTGAGCTAACGTCCATGCCCATCTTTCTCTACCTTATAAGTGGGACGCCTACCACAGCATGGCTTGACAAGCAGTGTGTAAGTCCATGCCTGGGATCCGAACTGGCGAACCCTGGGCTGCTGAAGCAGAGCAGACAAACTTAACCACTATGCCACTGGGCCTGCCTCAAAATTAGGGTTTTTTTCTTTATATATTTAATGTCACTATTATTTTAAGAAGAAAGTTGTATTTTAACCGTTCCTTCCCTCAGAGTTGTCTGATTTGCTCTTTGGTAGGTTGTTGCTCTGTCCATTTCTTCATCTTATCAAAGCCCCTTTGTTCCTTTTGGAGAGAGAGTCCTCAAGAGAGTTCTGTGAATGTGCCACTCAAAATTTGTGGAGGGTGTTCTAAATAAAATTGTCATGGTCTTTATGTTTTGATCTATATGATTAAAACGTTAGCAGTGAAATATGGTAGAGGAAACATAATGAGGGGACTTACCTCACTAGATATTAAAATGTATTTTAAAGCTATAATCAAAATATTGAGGTACTAATGCTCATAAAGACACAGATTAATGGACCAATATAGAACATCCATAGACAGACTTATAAATATATTTTAAACATTTAGCATAAAGGAATATTTCAATGATGGGTTGGTACAACTGTAGATGGTGTTGGTACAACTGGACAACTCATTGAAAACAAATTAAAGTTGGATCTCCTCCCCGTTTCTCATGCTCAGATATATTCCAGCTAGGTTAAAGATACAATATGAAGGTGTTAGGAGAAAATATAGGCAATTCACACAATCTTGAGGAAAAGAAGACTTTTCTAAGTATCATACAAAGGGTACAACCATAATGGAAAATATGGATATAATTACACAAAGATTTTACATCTTCTGCATGGCAAAAATATCGTTAAAAACAGAGTTGATATCCTTACTGTATAAAGATTCCTCATAAAGTAGTAAAATAAAGATGAAAACCCCACTGGAAAAACTGGCAGAGGACACGATTAGGTAATCACGATTAGGGGCAAAAACTATAAATGTCCAGTTAATTTTTATTTTAAAATGTTCCATTTCATAAAAATAGTAATACTAGTAATAATAACTATCATTTATTCTGTGTTTCTGTTTGTCTGAGTATTAAAAACTTCCAACAGATGAGCTAATTTAATCCTTTAAAAGGCAAGTATATATGTTACGATCATCATTTTATAAATGCGACAACTGAGATAGGACATGAAGAACCTTGTCCAAGGCGACAAAGCTGTCACATGGTTGAGCCAAGGTTATATATAACCCAGGCCATCTGCCTTAGAGTCCTGCTCCCCATCACTCAAAGAAATAAATTAAAACTACCTAAAATTCCACTGCACCCTACGGAGAAATTGATAATTTGCTCAACTCCACACAGCTTGTAAGCAATAGAATTGAGTTAAAAATTTTAGAAAGAAAAATCATATAAATAGAAGAAAGAAAAACACAGTCAAGTAACTAAGGTGAGCAACAAAGCAAATGTCTTTTAATTTTACAAACTCATCATTTCTTTTCAGAATATTTAAAAGATGCTTCAAAGAAGATGAAAAGTGGGCTTATGTTTATAAAATTGGTTAATCCATGTTCAGGTAAGTTTCCCCCCCTTCCCTTTCCTCCCCCCTCCCCCGATGATGGTAACTTGAACATGTTTTTAAACATTGTGACTGAAAAGGGTACACACTTATTTGCCTTTGTGTGTTCCTTCTTCCTGAATAGCTTTTAAAGGTAAGACGGTGTTGCAGGGTGGCAGAAGCAAGATAATGACATGACTAGTCTTCTCAGATAATTCACTTGACCTAAACATTTTTTAATTCTTATAATTTTCATCCATAGAACTGTTCATTCATCAGAAATGCTGGCAAAACAAAAAAAGTAGTATGTTTGATTTCTCTCTGAAAACAGACTAATTTTCTTTGGCTCTTAAGCCAACTTTTCTTAGAGTAGTTATCTGACATTAGCCTCCATTTATATTCATTTTATGTTATAAAGCAAAATAAACAACCAGAGTTAAAAAAAAAAAAAAAAAAAGAGCGAGAGAAAGTTTTTCTTGACGTGCCAAGATTTTGAGTAGTTTCATTTTTAGCTGTACTTTCCTTATTTTGTTCTGACCAAAAAGTACTATATTTTTTCCCTGTCAAAGGGTAATTTTCTTTTTGTATTTAACTCGTATATTGAAGAGACACATATTTTATCAGAAATGACTTTATTTTAATTTTATAGTCAGTCTATTTTATGTTTTGTTTTCTAATTTTTAGGCAAAAATCTTAAAATATACTATAAATATATAGTAATATTGATGATACTATTTATCTCTATGTGGAATTGTTTTTCCATTAATTTATTTTACAAGATTTATAAGGTTATTATTAATTTTATAGGTTTTTGAGTGGACATCTGATACTTAGCAAATTAGAGCATTCTCCTGGTGACTGTGTTACTGAATAGTAAAGCGAGGGAAAGGCAATAGGTAGTGTTATTGTTGTTGGAAAGACATATAAGTAAAAGCAACAAGAGAGGAAAACATTCCTGGCTTCCTCCAGTTTTCCTTTCTTTGAAATGAAATTGAATATAGTTGGTAAGCTTTATTATTTGGAACTCCTAATTATGCGTAAGACTAAGTTGAGGTGAAAATAGTTTTTCAAGAGAAAGTTTAGGTAGCAGTAAATATTTTAAAGTGTTTAACAAAAGTAGAGGTACAAAAAAGTCAGCCTTCTTGTAAAATTTCTGTTTTATCTGAATGTTCACAGATAACAGAGGAATAAATGTTTGTATCTGTTACATTGACTATAGAAAAATAAAGGCTAATATTTGCTAAGCACTTGATATATGCCAAGTACTGTTTTAGGAACTTTATGTGTATTTGGTCTCTTTAATCCTTGTAAAAACCCTGTGAGGTAGGTTCCGTATTGCTCCCATTTTACAGTTGTGGAAACAGAGGCACGGAAAGGTTTACGTAACTGCCCCACCGGCACGTGCCCAGCCTGGAAAGAGATTCAAACTCAGGGGCACTGATTACACTATGTTTAGAAAAAAATGTCAGCATTGAAGGGCCCTTGCGTTTCTCACTTAGAGCTGGCCTTCGGGGTCTGCAGGCTCAGTTCCTATCTTGGGCCCCACGTGTGGGGAGGCACACACTGCCCTGGGGACAGGGGCCCACATGCCAGCTCAGTTCCTCTGGCTGAACCATTAGGTTTGGGTAGTTTAAGAATGCGTTTTCCCCCCTGATCTGAGGGAGGGTTCCGTGAGAGGCTTTACAGCGGTTAGGATAAACGATTTGCTCTTTTTTATTTATTGGTTTAAGTTTAGTGAGGATTATAGAGCTGGAAAACAAGCATCTGTATATAATAGCTATAAGCTTTCCTTGGGGTCAGTTTGTATAGAATGTATCTATGTATGTTTGTGTTCATATTAGGAACATTCCTCAGAACTATTGGATAGTCTTGATTTTTGTGTGTGTGTGAGAAAACTTACAAATAAAAAACAGATTTGTCTTAACAGGGGAAGGAGCCATTTACTTGTTCAATATATGTCTGCAGCAGCTGTTTGAAATAAAAGTTTTCAAGGAAAAACACCATTCTTGGTTTATAAATCAATCGGTTCAATCAGGTAAGTGACTAGTGTATATGTCTTCATCAGTTAAGCGCGTGCTCTAGCTTTTCCGTCCTTCATGCACGGGCGCACGGGTCTGTCTACCCGGCTGGGACTTTAGTCCATGGGTTTTTCTCCCTTGGTATCACAGCAGGGTTTAATCAAGGAGAAAAGAAAGATAAATTTGAGCAAATTTAGATCAATACCATAGCTATATGTCTTAGATAGTGGGAAATTTTTAACTAACACTCTGATTTGTCTCCTAAAACACTGACACATCCTTAAGAAGTTAGGTGACCTTTGTGCCATGGAGTGCACATCGTGTTGACTGGAAACTCTTTACTCTTCTGTTAGCCACATTTGAGGATTTTAAAGTTTTTAACATCTGATATCCTTGAAAATGAATACTGATATAGCTTCTAAAAGAGAATAGAACTAAGTTTTTTTTAATGCTCTGTTATATAAATTACTACTGCCAGTACCCGCCCCCCCCAACACACACACACACACACACACACACACACACACACACACCCCCAACACCAAAATTCTATTTCTTTTAATATTCCTGTATTTTGGAGGCAGTGTTGACTCAAAAGGGAAAAGGGTACCTCGTGTCGTTCTGACGGATCTGGAAGGGAGTCATAGGATAGCTGAGGCATTCTAACTTCCCTCTGCCTATTCTCTCATTGTTTCCAGAGAGTGCTTTCTATTTCTTCTAAGCCCTCTACTTTCTGTTGACTATGCTAAGGTAGAAAGGCCACTTTGCCTTTCTTCTAAGACATTCCAGAAGGGTTTATTGCTGGTGATAAATGTCGTGTACATATGTGCATGAGAAGAATTGAAATGATTTTCAGTTGCTGAAATGCAGTGGTAGTCTATGTATAGCCTGGCAGGTGGAAAGCATATATTCCCTTTTATTGTTGCTGCTATGCTTGTTCATTTGGCAATATATGAGAGTTCTAACTTCTAATGTCATACACTTGCAATTTGGTTTAGCTGGATAGACACAGTTATATCCAGATGAAACTGGAAAATATTGGAAGGCACTGATTGATCATTTCTTCTGAACTGTCTGAATTGGTATCTGCTTTCTTTTTAAATTGACCTTATTTTTTAGAGTTATTTTAGGTTCACAGCAAAGGTACCTGCTTTTTTCATTATTGTCTTCTTTTTAAACTTAACCTTGAAGAAAGAGCTGTTTTTAAAAATAGCCACTAGGATATTGTTTTCAGACCTAGAAACCTCTTCCTAATTTCTGAATATAATGGATGCCTCATATAAAATGAGCTTAGAGCTTTTGATAGGTTGTTTTCATAAACTTCTCTTCTACTTTTTAAAAAATAATCAACTAATATCATAATATGAAATTACTTCCTTAAATTTTTGTGACTTTCCATGAAATGGATTCATATATACAATTTAGGGTGAGAATTTCTTGGCTGTATAGGTAGGTTGCCCTGTTAGAGAATAAAAGTAAGTACGTGAGTTTCCTGAAACCAAAATAACAAGTACGGAGATAAAGGAATTGTTTATTCTTCCATTTGATGCAATACCTCTTCTGGTTCACTTCCATGGAAAAAGGAGTCTGGGGTGCTTGGAGGGGAGTTGATAGAGGAAAGAAGAGTGGGGACTGGATAGGCTAGTTGTTTAATTTGCCTTTTTTCCTATCCTGGAGAGCACCATTAATCTTACTGCAGAGTTTTCAGTTTCTTATGCTCAGTCTTGTTAGACTCCTGCCCTCTTGCCTTTTTCTTTGAGGTAGGGACATGGGGTAGAGTCTGGAGTGGGTAACAACCTTCTGAGCTTTGAGTCATTGGCAGTTCAGAGCTATGAGCCCACAGACTGTAGAAGGAGCTATGTACAGAGAGAATAATATTGCTTTCCCTTGGCTTTGTCTTCAAAAGCACAGGAAATTACATTTTACTGTGGCTTTATCGATAGATTTATACAAGTTTGCCTGGTTCACATTCTCTCTATAGTCCCCCCAACCCCTGCTTTCTTTGGGATGGGGGGGCTCTGTTAAAAATGATTTCTAAAGAAGAAATAGAAAGTTAAAGATCAATTTCAGTATCTTGGCTCTCCTCTCCACACAGGGATTTGAAGCTCTTTGGAGTAAAATCTCATGGACCACATTCTGCCTTTTGAGAGAATCACATAGAATCTTGGGCCTGTGTAAGAAGAGCTTCTGAATTTGGAATTTCACATATATTTTTCAGTGAACGCTTTTCACGTTGGGATTAAGATGAAATAACTAATGCTATCTTTCCCAGACGTTGAATTCCCTTTGTTCTCTTTTTAATCTATAGGGGGTCTTCTCCACTTTGCCACACCGATGGACCCTCTGTTTCTGCTTCTCCACTACCTTATAAAGGCTGGCAAAGAGGTGAGTTTCCCAGTTTGGGATATTAGCAAGGAAACAGAATAGATTGGTTTTTACTTGATCTCCTCTCTCTCCTTGTAATGATCCAAATGTAGATTCCCCACAATTCAGATTTAATCTGGTGGGTGTAGATCACGTGTATCACGTGTGCTGTGTGGATTAGAGCGCTGAGCACAGACCTGAGAACCAGCACCTGATCTTGGGTGAGCTGACCCAGGACCTCTGAGAACTGCCCAAGGCTCCCTGCTCTGCGTCCTACTTGTTTGACAAAGCCTGCCAATGAAAATGTTATCATGAAGTACTCATTAGTTTTGAAATACAATAGAAATGTTAAGAAATTGACCTCAGGCCTGAAGAGAAGAAAGACTTTTCTTTCATTTTCTTCTTTGTGAGAGACTGTGCCACAGGTAAACTGGGGCTTGTCTGGTTAAAGATCATTAATGAGGAAGCTCTAGTTGAGACTAAGAAATCTCAGATGGATAAAATTTGCCTTTTTAATATAAAGACAGAGTTTATTAGTAGTAATAGTTTCAGCCAAAGGTTCTGAAACATTTCGGTCTCAGGATACAGTTGCAGTCCTGAAAATTAAGGATCCCAACGAGCTTTTTGTCCCTGTGGGCTTTATCTATCAATATTTAATATATTAGAAATTAAAAGTGAGAAATTTAAAAATAATTTTATTAATTTACTTAAAAATAATAAACCCAGTACATGTTAACATAAATAACACATTTTCACTTAAACAAATGACAAAATTCAATGAAGAGTATGGCATTGTTTTACATTTTTGCAAATCTCTTTGGTGCCTAGCTTAATAGAAGAGAACTGGATTCTCATATCTGAGTCTGCATTTATTTTCTCTTTCATATATTCTGTTTGCATATATTGTTTTGGTGGAAGAATATGCAGCCTTACACAGATATGTAGTCAGAAAAGGGGGGAATAGTGTAATAGCTTTTTCAGACAATTGTGGATATTCTTCTTTGATATTACTTCAAAAATCAAAAACAGGTAGTTTCTTAAAAATTAATTGCAGTGTGGAATCTGAAACCCTGTTAATGAACTTTACATGTTCTGTTACATTAAAATCTAGTGGTCTATCTTGCACTGAGAATGGGTCTTTTACCCGCGTGTGACTTTGTAATATCATGCATCGGTCCTTTGGAAAATACTGTTTCACTGAATTATGCAGCTCTTCCAAATGTTGACACATCTCATTACACACACGCACACACACACTCATATTTGTTCATATCACCACCAATCTCATCAGAGAATTCTTTAAGTATCGGTAAGCTGTCATAGCGGCAGATACAGATTTTTTACAATTCTAATTTTTGCTTGACTGTTCAAATTTTAACATTGGCTACAAGTATTTTATCTTTGGCTACGGGTACTGTCAATCTTGCCCTTGAAGTGGCAGGTTCACTTCATTTGTGTTGTGCAAAATACCTAAGTTTAAATAATCATAGTTCACAGTGTTTTTTCAAGTAAAAATGGTATCCATGAAAAGAGCAGCTAGTTCAGCTCACAACTGGCTCACACCAGTGCTTTTCCGTGAGATGATCGCTGTGCCTTGGTGGGCAGCAGACGTGCTTTCGTGGCACCTTCCTTTCATCACTCAGAGTATGTAAAAGACTTGCACTCAAGGGTCAAGATTTAAATAAAAGTAATTGCTTTTACTCCTTTACCAGGGACATCTTTAAGTGAAACTGGCTTTTTTTAACTGCTAGTACGTGGCCGTGGCGGTGAGGAACACAGTGGCCTCTAGGACAGTCACTGCCACCCTGACTGATGCTGAGGAGCCCACAGCTTTACCCACCTTTGCGTTTGAATCATCAGTGCAAATGTCAACACAGTGAAAATGCAAATGGCATCTTAGCATTATTATGGAAATAGTTTTGAGCTTGTGGACCCCCTCTAAGCATACTGGGAACTCCCAGGGATCCAACAACCACAGTTTGAAAATCTTTGAATTAACAACTCTAAGGAATAAGTGTTATTTAAACTGCTCAGGAGAATCTATTGTTTGCTACTCTCAATTTTGCATGTAGTTTAAGTGCTTATGAGTTCATCTTAGACCTAATTTCCAAAACTGCCCTTTTGTGAGTATATCAATTCAATTTGCTGTAAATACTGAAAGTAATAAAACTGACTTAAAATGTTAATTCATGATTTCTCTGGATACAGCTTAGCTTCTTTTATTTTCCTCCTTTTCTAAATCCTCTGTCCTTTAATGTGGATTAGCAAAGTTTTATTCCTTAGTTTAATCATATTTCCCCTTATCTGGAAGCTGCCGTGGTAGCCAATATAATTAGGGCATACAAGCATGAGGCTAGTAAGCTGTGTGTCTCTAAGGAACAGAAATGGCTCTAGTCACCACCAGGAAGGCCCTGGCAATATACAGGGAGGAAGCTGAAACTTCACTTGGCTCCCATTTGTTTTCTAGGATACGTTAACAGAGAGAAAGCCACCAACCAGCTAGTACCTGCACTGATGAACTTTTAAAGCCTCTCCCCCAACTTTTTGGTAGTCTTTCCCTTTTTCCCATTAAGACCATGACTCTGGTGGATTAACCCCCACCCTGGCCTTCTGGGAGTCTCTGGGGGTGTTATGGCTGATTCAGGTTGACAGATGCAGATTGAAGCAGAAATCCTGTTCAAGTTGGTGGTTAGCTTTCATTGTAAACCATCTTTCTCTTCTCAAATACTAGAACTGTCCCTTTAAGTAACTCATGAGATGTTTAGTATTTCCTTCCCTACGTTTTAGATGTGATATTTTCCTATTTAGTTAAAAAATATATTGGTACACACTTTTGAAATGTTGGCCTATGGTTTTTAATCATAAGATTTATTTTAACATCAGTAAAAATAATTCCTCTTTCTAGCTATCCCAACTGTTATTAACTTTATATTCAAAACTAGTTCTTTGGGGCCGGTCCAGTGGCGCAGCAGTTAAGTGCGCATGTTCTGCTTCGGTGGCGCAGGGTTCTCTGGTTCGGGTCCCGGGTGCAGACATGGCACCACTCAGCAAGCCATGCTGTGGTAGGCGTCCCACATATAAAGTAGAGGAAGATGGGCACGGATGTGAGCTCAGGGCCAGTCTTCCTCAGCAAAAAGAGGAGGATTGGCAGCACTTAGCTCAGGGCTAATCTTCCTCAAAAAAAAAAAACAAAAAAAAACCCTAGTTCTTTATTGCATTTCCTTTTTATGTATATATGGTGAAGAAAACAAGAATGAAATAGTTAATTATGAAATTATTATATTATGTCATGACTGTGTGGTAGTCCATTATATATAAGTAGAATATTGTTTTAAAATAGTTAAATATTTAAAATATTAGTTGATCTTGGAAGAATTTAAAGTAGAAATCTAAAATCAATAAGACTGAGGAAATCTGTGAATTACTCTTACTATATTATGGAAAAAAAGAACACTTATTTATTTTAAATTGGCAATCTGTCTTTTTTTTTGAGATTGGCACCTGAGCTAACAACTGTTGCAAATCTTCGTTATTTTTTTTTTTATTCTTCTCCCTAAAGCCACACCTCCACCCCTCGGTAAATAGTTGTATATTCTAGTTGTGAGTGCCTCTGGTTGTGTTATGTGGGACGCCGCCTCAGCATGGCCTGGTGAGCGGTGCCATGTCTGCGCCCAAGATCCGAACCGGTGAAACTCTGGCCGCCAAAGCAGAACATGCAAAACTAACTGCTTGGCCATGGGGCCGGGCCCAAGAACATTTAAATTGAGGCATTTCTTGCCACTTGTTAACCTAACCGAAAGTATGACAAGCTTTCACAGGTGTTACTGAATGAATGATAAGACTTCACCCTTAAAAACAGAGGAAGCTGCATTCGCAGGAAGAAAACTGATCAAACACAGTTTTTCTGTCTTCAAACAAAGTTGTCACTAAAACAGAAAAGTAGAGTGAGCTAGAAGTGGGACATGGGCAACCATATATCTTTTATAAAGTCTGGTATCCCCAAGGCAAGGGACTAATAATTTAGAAAGTCTTCACCCCTCCATGCTACCAGTAAAACTAAGAAAAACTAAACCCAGTTGAGAAGAAGAATATTCTGAATTCTCATGTTCTGCTCTCTGACCCATTGGCCATCAGGCCTTACAGACTTGTCTAGCTGAGCCTGATTCAATATGTCTGCAGTTGTACTTATCCCTCTAGCTACCTTTTCTTTTATTATCGCCTGCGTTTAGAAGCATTGCCAGACAGCTCTGACAGGTGTAAATTCACTTTGGGTGTTTTTCTTTTTGTTGCGGTGCCTCTTTGAGTACTCCTGGAGTGAGGATGAGGAAGAGAGATGTTTGCTCTGGGGTTGATCTGGGCTGATTCCTGGGTGAAGGTCAAGACTCCTGCTCTGTGACCTCAGCTGGTTCTTCCTCAAATTGAATGGGTTGGACCAGCCCTAGGCAATCTCTACCATCTTTGCAAGTTTCCATAGCTTCTAGCGCTTTCCAGAATTTTGCTCCCCTGTTTCATCCAATGACTGTACCCTTGAGGTAGGTGGTGTGCTGGTTGGAACCCCAGTGCTTTCAAGAGCTTCCTGAAGGGAGCTGAGAGTCAGTTCTGGAGCCTGCTCCAGTTTAGGAATTCCTTAGGTGAAACAAGTGGCTTTGAACTAAGTTTGCAGGACCAGCCATGAGGTAATACGTCTTTTTTTTTTTAATGTGTGAGTTTGTAGACTGGAATCCTTGCTTTCTAATTGACTAAAGTCTTTTTTCAGGGAAAGTTTCAGCCCCTAGATCAAGTTGTGGTGGATGACAAGTTTCCAAATTGCATCTTGTTACTGAAACTTCCTGAACTTGAGAAGTTACTTCGACACGTGACGGAGGAAAGAGGTATAGTATATGGCCTTTGAAATCAGGCTTATGCTGCTAGAAAGGCTGGCCTCTGTCTGAGAAGGTAGCTACTTGAAGGCCCGCTGGATGTAATACTTATTCTACGTTGGTCATAGGGGAAGCTGTCATTCGGATTTGCTTCCGCTTGTCAATAGGAGTCCTCTGTCACATTGTATTGTTAAGTCTTAGAAACTCCAGCCAGTGAAGAACGGTGGCCTGTCTCCTGCAGGGCCCGGAATCACGAGCCTTGAGCTGTAGTCTCATTTCTTCTTTGAGCTAGTCTGTGTCTTTAGGTAAGTCACTTAACTGCTTTTTCTGCCTCAGATTTCTCATTTGTAAAATTACGTAGAACCTTTATTGATTCAAGAAGCATTTATTGAGCACCTACTAAGAAGCATATGTTGAGCAGTAGTGCTAGGTCTGGGGATACTTAAACAGTCATGCAGCACATAATGACATTTCGGTCAGTAACGGCCTGCGTATACAACAGTGGTCCCAAAAGATTAGTACCAGATAGCCTAGGTGTGTAGGAGGCTATACCATCTGGGTTTGCGTAAGTACACTCTATAATATTCGCACAACAATGAAATTGCCTAACAACACATTTCTCAGAAAGTATCTCTGTCATTGAGCGACACATGACTATAAATAAGACTATCCTTTCCCTAACCAACCTTCAAATCTGATGAGGACAAATGACAAGTAGGGCAATGACAGTAGGGAGTAATGGAAGTGAACTCTGGTTTTTTGGGGATGCACAGGACAGGTTTATAAGCTGGCCTGGGTTGGGTAGGGAGTGTGGGTAGGTGGGTATTGTGCTGCTTTTCTCGGGGAAATGACCTCTTAGTGGAGTCCTGAAGGATAAGTCAGAGTAGCAGCATAACAGAGGCACGGAGGTAAGGAAAAGTTTGTTATGTTTAGGAAGTTGCAAGGAGTTCACTGTAGCCAGGGGACAGCATGCCAGGGATGCATTTAGGTTAGTAAGGAAGAAATGGGTGGGAATGCTGGGCAAGGGTTCAGTGGTGAAGGGCCTTATATGTGTCTGGGCTTTACCAAATGGTAGTGGAGTGTCAGCCAAGTTTTAAGCAGGGCAGTGCTATAGTGTGGGGAATATATTGGAGAAGCTAAGGCCAGGTCCACGGAGGCTGCTGCAGTTGTCCAGGCAGGAGATGATGGTAACCTGAGCTTAAGAGATGGAACTAGAAGGAAGTAGCATTGTAGAGGTAGAAGCAGCTACATTTGGTGATTCGATGGTGGTCAAGAAGAAGGAAGAGTCAAAATGACTTGTGGATTTGTGCCTCGACCTACAGAATGTGTAGCCATGGCATCCTGGAGAGAGAGAACGTGGGTGAGAGGAGCTGGCTGGGATAATGAAGAGATGAGTTTTAGATAATATTCATTCAAATTTTGAGAGGAGGAAGTGAGGCTGTGTGTGACTGCTTTGACAGGTTAGAACTGCTATACAAACTTAGCATCAGTGCCTCAAAAACTCACGCAAGTAGTTTCAGGGTTAATATGGAAACATAGTGTGGGAACCAAAACAACAGGCTGATAAGTTGTGGTTGTTTGGGGTCACAAACAGTTTGGCCAACTATGACAGTTCTTCTGGGACCAAGAAAGTGGTGATTCTAAGAAGTGTAAACTTACAGTGGGAAAGGGTAAAACCTCTTTGATTGCATTTCACATTTGAGGGGTCTAATAAATTCACACTTGGCCAGACTTAGAGCTCCATTTTGGATCTGAGGAATGTGTGGCGCCAAGGTTTTATCAAAGCAGCCCAGTTAAAGCCGTTCCCTGATACTGAGCTTGGCAGGAGCAGTAATCTTTTTGTGGGTGACAAATGAGGTAGCCATAACCATTTCTGAAAGCTAAAGTAATGAGGAATAAATGCAAGTCATTTTAATTTTACCAAGTTAACGTAAATTGAAAATGCAATGAACTCATTATCCAAAATTCTTACGATAACTGTATGAGAACAGTTATCTTAAACCAAAACCAAGAAACCCAGATTCAGAAACGGTATTAATGCATTGGCATTTGTTAGCTTACAACCTGTGTTTCAAAACAAGAGCTTCCCTCTCTCCTTCCTGACTTCTGCACAATGGACCCCTGACTGTTTCTTGAATTATTATCTGAACACCTATCCTGATCTCTTTCACTTCTCAACGTCGCCTAACTTTTGGGAGTTTTACTGTAATAGAAAGTGTGTGCCCTATCCTTATCTTGTCTGGCCGGCTCTAAATAACCAGTTGTAAACTCAAAATACTGGTATTTCCCTTTGGATCTCTATGGAAAAAGGCATCAATCTCAGTATGCTGTTTTTGTATACAGAACTGACGTAAAGAAAAATATTTCACCTATTTGTGTTCTAGTCAAGAGGTGAAGCAAGTAATGTGGAATTGCTTGTGTGTATTTTGATGAAGGGCCTTTGTAAGATTGAGGCATGAGCGATCTTACTGTTTTTTCTTGTTTTTAAAATTTTGGGGGTTTTTTAATACAATTTTTTTTTTTTTAAGTTTGGCACCTGAGCTAACAGCTGTTACCAATCTTCTTTTTTTTTTTTTACTTTCTTTTTCTCCCCGAAGCCCCCCGGTACCTAGTTGTACATTTTTAGTTGTGGGTCCTTCTGGTTGTGGCATGTGGGACGCCGCCTCAGCATGGCCTGATGAGCGGTGCCATGAGCGGTGCCATGTCCGCGTCCAGGATTCGAACCGGTTAAACCCTGGGCCGCTGAAGCGGAGCACGCAAACTTAACCACTCGGCCACGGGGCCGGCCCCTGGTTTTTTTTTTTAAGCTTCATTATTTTAAGATTTACGGAATGTAGTTCATTGGGGGAAGAATTAGATTATGAAGGAAGTGCCGAGACTTCCAGAGAACTGCCTACATCTTTGATGATGTGAAATTTAATCTGAATTACTTTATGTTTTGCCTTACTGTCATTAAAAAAGAAAAAAAGAAAAATTTGAGGCCTAGAGTTTTTAGAAACCTGGTGTATATAAAGGTTGACAATATATCTGCTTTAAAAATGAAAATAGATGGGCAGGTGAAGCAATTTTTGTTTTTAGTTAAAAAATTTAAAGATGCAGAAAAACTCAGAGGAAAAAAACTACAAATATTATTTGTACCTAATCCCAATAATCAACCACTGTTAATGTTTTGTTATATTTTCTTCAGATTTCTTTTGGGGAAAGAATTTATTTAAGAATTTCCTGGTAATCTGATCTCAGGATCTCATGGCCTGCAAGGAAAATTAAAAATGTATTTGCTATATGGTTTTGAACAAATCATTCAAACTTTTCAGCGTCCTCCATCTTAAGATGAAGAGTTTGAAGAGTTGAGAGTATTCCCCGTGTTCTGTCATACATTATGATTTGTACTCTGCACAGTGGTTCTAAATCATAAAATAAAGCTTTCATTCTTTTAGCTTTATAGTATTGAGCTTTCTGAATGACCATCATATGAACATTAAGTATTGCAGTTACTAGTATCTAGTGTCTACCACAAAGAGATGCTTCAGGAATTAAATGAGATAATGTAAGTAAATCAATACACAGAGAGTGCAGGGTAGATAGAAAATGTTCAATAAGTGTTAGTACAATTAACCCTCCTGAATTAGAAATGTTTAATTCTTTGCTGGTGTTTAAGTTCTAGGTGCATATTAAGTGACCAATACACATTTGTTTGATGGTCTATTGATTCATATATAGTCAGTGGTTTAAGTAGGAGAATGGAGATAATCAAATAGTAAAAATGTACACCATATATTGAGAAAGTATTGTTTACCATCTCTATGCTTGTTTCACATATATTGCTGAATCCTTGCAATAATTCCCTTTCATTATTATTATAACCTGCATTTTTACAGATGAGGAAATTGAGGCTCAAAGAGTTCACGTAAGTTGACTAGTATCATAGCACCAGAAGTGGTAGAAACAGGATTTGAACTCGTGTCTGTGTGACAGCAACTCTTTCCCCTCTTTCTTACAACTATGTTAACACTTCCAAAATACTCAATTAGAGTTTTTAGGTGTTGTTCCATGTGAAAACAGAAATAATTTTTCTTTACATCTTATATGTCTCCTCTTAATAATTCCCCTTTATGAGGCAAAAAGAGAGAGACAGGAAAGGAGACAGAGAGAAATTTGATAGCTTAAGGAAAAGACACTTCTCAGCTTGGCAGTGAGCTTGCTGTTCTCAGGCACCATGTTACCCTCTTTAGTAACTGCCTTGGGTACTGGCTGCTTATTTGAATTTGGATTATTGTCCATTTATAAGTTAGTGTTTGCTTCCATTCTCTGTATTTGATTGCTAGGATTTATTTATTTATTTTTATTTTTTGTGAAGAAGATTGGCCCTGAGCTAACATCTGTTGCCAATCTTCCTCTATTTTATGTGGGATGCTACCACAGTGTGGCTTCAGGAGTGGTGCTAGGTCTATGCCTGGGATCTGAACCTGTGAACTCCAGGGCAGCTGAAGTGGAGCTTGTGAACTTAACCACTAAGCCACTGGGCCACCAGGCTGGCCCCAATCACTAGGATTTTTAAATAAGAAAGAGGACTGCTAAGTAGTGGTCAGGTAATATCCATGACAGGAAGCAAAGATAAAGAAGAAAGCTGATGTTTTTTAACTTCCAGCCTCTCCACAGGCACTGTGCAGCGTAAAGCCTAAAATATTCAAATTCCCCAGCCAGCTATTTTGATATCAGACACCAGATGCTGTCTCAAAAGTCTGTGGCATTAAAGATCTGGTTCAGCCTGCTAGGTTTATGAGAACCTTCCCCTCTTGCTTTCTCCCTGCCGAATAAACCCGACCATGCTTGTTTGTATCCTGGATGATGATGGCAGTGACCTGACTTAGCACTGCCCGTTTTATTAGTGAAGGAAACGATGTGTCTCTGCTAGTTCTGGGGCTCAGCACATTTCTTGCCAAAGAAGCTCACATTCAGTGGAGAGATGACGGGGGAAAGGACTAACAGAGGGTTATAAACCTGATCTTGAA